CCAGGAACAAAGCTAGTGGAGGTGACATAAGTCCAGCTGAACTATTTCAAATCCTAAATGATGATGCTATGAAAGTGCTGCACTCAATATGCCAGCAAATTTGGAAAACTCAGCAGTGGACACAGGACTGGAAAAGGCCAGTTTTCATTCCAATCACAAAGAAGGGCAATGCCAAAAAATGTTCAAACTACTGCACTATTGCATTCATTTCACATGGAGACTCTTAGGGAATGAGAATTCTATCCATTTGTCCTCAACAAAGAGTATTATTAAATTCATTGGTTTATATGACCCTGCTGATCTTTCTTTACAAATGGAAGGTAAATTAACAAAGGTGATATACATCCAGTCTCTTATTCAATCAACCAACTTGAATTGAATCCCCTCTCTGTCCCCTCTGTACTTGCACCTCTAGGATGGAAATAAAGACCACGCAGTCTGCAGGTTGAATTCGGCACACAGTTGTTCGATATTTGGCCTCCACTATTGATCTCAGAGGGAGAGCTGTGAGCAGTGCTGAAGAGAGATCTTCATTCCCTGGCCAGGAATTAAGCCCAAGCAACCTGGGAGAAAACCAAGAGTCACTACACCACCTGGGGCTAGAGGCTAGAAGCAAAGTGGGCCTGGCGCCTGTCCCTTCTTGAAAGCAAGACTGTTTCAAGGAGGCAAAAACTGTAAAACCAAGTACAAAGTTTATTACTAGAGACACAGCACAATGTATGGGGGGGGGCACATGGGGAAACAGTTGGTTTATTCAACTCAGAAGCAGGGTAGAGATACACACAGAGAGAAAAAGGGCATGGGCATCTTCTCTAATGAGGGGGAGCACAGTAAGTCAGAAACTAGGCAGAGGCCATACCCAGAGAGGACTATGGGCATCCTGAGTGAGGAGTGCAGTATGGAGGTGAAGGAAATCATATAGGACAGTCCTTCTAGGTCGCTGTTTACCCTTGGCCAATTATCTTCTTTCTTCACAACTGACTGATCCATGGACCCTCCCCGAGATGGATTCGCAAATTTTTGCTAAGATGGATCCCACTGCACAGGCCTATGGGTGTGTGTCCACACTTATTATGGGGTGAGGTCTGCTCCCTTTTCCACCCCACGAAGCCTTCTGGAGCATGTGCAGATGATGAAATCTTCCTTGCACTCAGGAGTGGGCACCTTATCTCCTTGTTTTAGTAGAGCTCAACTTTTACCACTAGCTTTGTCCTCAGACAGTCTGGGTGAGAACAAAAGCTCAGTTTTATTCCACTTGACAACCACCAGGTTTCTGGCCCAGAGGCCAACTATAGCTACCTCATTTTGTTTTTAGTTTGTTTAAAAAAATAATAATAAGTTGCTAGCATTTAAATCAGAAGATTGTACATAAATATCCAGGCTTCTGAGCTCTCTTCTAAATGAGGCTGGTCAGCCTGCTTTCCAGCATGGCAGCCGCTGGTTGGAGCTGAGGAGAGGTTGTCCCCAGTAGTAGGGCCTGTGATGCTCGGTGTCCAGGATGCCCTCCGAGTGCTTCCATTCATTTCTCTTGGGCCAGGAATTAGTGAGAAATGACTTAGACTGCTCTACCCTGAGGATAAAGACCACCTGAGTGTTACTCAACTTTTGACTTTCCAGTGTCCTATCCAGATCCCAGCACACCGGGTTCTCCTTATATGTTTGTTGGATAATATAAAGTATCTTGTGGATGCCTGCATCACATTTCTTCCAATACTGAAACCGTGCAATTGCAATTCTGCTCCAGCCTAGATCTTTGACAGAGACGGGCATCAAAGGTGCCCCTGATCTGTGCCAATGTCCCACTACATAAAGCCACTCATATGTCACTGGGCTGCCCCTTAAACCTTCACTTTGCTATTTGACGTCTTTTCCTTCTAGCAATCCCCTCTCCAACTGAGGACAGCCGTGTACATCTTATGACGTTTGTAGGAAGACCACATGAGATCACAAATATCTAGCATGGCCCCTAGATTTACTTTTATCACATCATTAGCAGTATTTTGTGTCTAAGTTGGCAAGAGATTCACTACTCTTAGTTTAGTTTAATTTTTCAGCTAAGCCTCAAGGAAGAGATTACAGTCAGTTCAGTTCAGTTGTTCATCATGTCCAATTCTTTGCGACCCCATGGACTGCAGCATGCTAAGCCTCCTTGTCCATCACCAACTCCCAGAGTTTACTCAATCTCATGTCCATTGAGTCGGTGATGCCATCCAACCATCTCATCCTCTGTCATCCTCTTCTCCTCCCGTCTTCAATCTTTCCCATCCTCAGGGTCTTTTCAAATGAGTCAGCTCTTCACATCAGGTGGACAAAGTATTGGTGTTTCAGCTTCAACATCAGTCCTTCCAATGAACAGTCAGGAATGATCTCCTTTAGAATGGACTGGTTGGATCTCCTTGCAGTCCAAGGGACTCTCAAGAGTCTTCTCCAACACCACAGTTCAAAAGTATCAATACTTTGGCCCTCAGCTTTCTTTACAGTCCAACTCTCACATCCATACATGACTATTGGAAAAACCATAGCCTTGACTAGACAGACATTAGTTAGCAAAGTAATGTCTCTTCTTTTTAATATGCTGTCTAGATTGGTCATAGCTTTTCTTTCAAGGAGTAAGCATCTTTTAATTTCACGGCTGCATTGGCAGTGATCTTGGAGCCCAAGAAAATAAAGTCTGCCACTCTTTCCACTGTTTCCCCATCTATTTGCCATGAAGTGATGGGACCAGATGCCATGATCTTAGTTTTCTGAATGTAGAGCTTTAAGCCAACTTTTCACTCTCCTCTTTCACTTTCATCAAGAAGCTCTTTAGTTCTTCATTTTCTGTCATAAGGGTGGTGCCATATGCATATCTGGGGTTATTGATATTTCTTCCAGCAATCTTCATTCTAGCTTGTGCTTCATCCAGCCCAACATTTCTCATGATATACTCTGAATATAAGTTAAATAAGCAGGGTGACAATATACAGCCTTGATGTACTCCTTTCCTATTTGGAACCAGGTCTGTTGTTCCATGTCCAGTTCTAACTGTTGCTTCCTGACCTGCATACAGATTTCTCAAGAGGCAGGTTGGGTGGTCTGGTATTCCCATTTCTTTCAGAATTTTCCACAGTTTATTGTGATCCACACAGTCAAAGGTTTGGCATAGTCAGTAAAGCAGAAATAGATGTTTTTCTGGAACTCTCTTGCTTTTTCGATGATCCACTGGATGTTGGCAATTTGATCTCTGGTTCCTCTGCCTCTTCTAAAACCAGCTTGAAAATCTGAAAGTTCACAATTCACATACTGTTGAAGCCTGGCTTGGAGAATTTTAAGCATTACTTAATTAGCATGTGAGATGAGTGCAACTGTGAGGCAGTTTGGCATTCTTTGGCATTGTCTTTTCTAGGGATTGGACTGAAAACTGACCTTTTCCAGTCCTGTGGCCACTACTGAGTTTTCCAAATTTGCTGGCATATTGAGTGCAGCACTATAACAGCATCATCTTTCAGGATTTGAAATAGCTCAACTGGAGTTCCATCACATCCACTAGCTTTGTTCATAGTGATGCTTCCTAAGGCCAACTGGACTTCACATTCCAGGATGTCTGGCTCTAGGTGAGTGATCACACCATCATGGTTATCTAGGTCATAAAGATCTTTTTTGTACAGTTCTTCTGTGTATTCTTGACACCTCTTCTTAATATCTTCTGCTTCTGTTAGGTCCATACCATTTCTGTCCTTTATCGAGCCCATCTTTGCATGAAATATTCCCTTGGTATCTCTAATTTTCTTGAATAGATCTCTAGTATTTCCCATTCTATTGTTTTCCTCTATTTCTCTGCACTGATCACTGAGGAAGGCCTTCTTATCTCTCCTTGCTGTTCTTTGGAACTCTGCATTCAAATGGGTATTTCTTTCCTTTTTCTCCTTTGCATTTCACTTCTCTTCTTTTCACAGCTATTTGTAATGCCTCCTCAGACAGCCATTTTGCATTTTTGCATTTCTTTTTCTTGGGGATGGTCTTGATCCCTGTCTCCTGTACAATGTCATGACCCTCTGTCCATAGTTCATCAGGCACTCTTATTAGATCTAATCTCTTGAATCTATTTGTCACTTCCACTGTATAATCATAAGGCATTTTATTTAGGTCATACCTGAATGGTTCAGTGGTTTTCCCTACTTTTTCAATTTAAATCTGAATTTGGCAATAAGGGGTTCATGATCTGAGCCACAGTCAGCTCCCAGTCTTGTTTTTGCTGACTGTATAGAGTTTCCCCATCTTTGGCTGCAAATAATATAATCAATCTGATTTTGGTGTTGACCATCTGGTGATGTCCATGTGGAGCCTTGTGTTGTTGGAAGAGGGTGTTTACTATGACCAGTGCACTCTCTTGGAAAAACTCTATTAGCCTTTGCCCTGCTTCATTCCGTACTCCAAGGCCAAATTTGCCTGTTACTCCAGGTGTTTCTTGAATTCCTACTTTTGCATTCCAGTCCCCTATAATGAAAAGGACATCTTTTTGGGGTATTAGTTCCAGAAGGTCTTATAGGTCTTCATAGAACCATTCAACTTCAGCTTCTTCAGCATTACTGGTTGGGGCATAGGCTTGGATTACAGTGATATTGAATGGTTTGCCTTGGAAACGAACAGAGATCATTCTCAATTTTGAGATTGCATCCAAGTACTGCATTTCAGGCTCTTTTGTTGACTATGATGGCTACTCCATTTCTTCTAAGGGATTTTTGCCCACAGTAGTAGATATAATGGTCATCTGAGTTAAATTCACCCATTCCAGAGATTACAGTAGTCTCTCTGTATTTTGAGAATTTTCCAAGTCAGATACACACAGAGACTGATAGAGGTAAATATTTTACGGAGAGGTTCATATTTCTTATCAGATTCACCACTAGCCTAAAGGGGACAATTAGGGCAGGTCAGAGCATATATAATTAGGAGCTATTGGTCACCACTGCATGCTCAGAACTTGAACTTCCCTGAGTACTTGGATCCAGGAAAGAAGCATGAAGTGGCTTGTGCTCCTTGGGCTGGTGGCCCTCTCAGAGTGCATAGTCATGTAAGTATGGGGACTGTAAGTAGCATCATCTCTCTTTCTGGGGTTTCTCTTGTCATCCTCTCATTCTTCCACCCATCAGGGTTAAAAGAGAAAGTAATCACTCCCTGGCAGGCTTCAACTTTCACTGATTAATGAGAATCTTGTCATGGGCATCATGGAGGGCAAGGTTCATGGGGCAGGACTGCAGGATTACATAACTCTGGGAGTACCAGTCACATCATGACCCATATAAAAACGGCACTCCTTGGAATTGTTCAGTGCATGACCTGTGCAGCTGTCGGTGTGGTGCTACAGAAAAGCATTTCTCCTGCATTTGCTTCTAGGTCTTCTCTCTGCTCTCCCTCCTCTGCTGTGTGTATGTGTCAGTGTCTTCATATGTGTAGGCTCCAAACGGTCATCTGGTTTACCCAAGATTACACAACAGAACCTGTATGCAGACCTAGGTCTTTGACATGTCTTTGCATGGCATTCTGATAAAAGGTGACACTCATAAAAATGCTTGGAAAATACACAATGCCATTACAATGCCAGATACAACAGTCATACCTGGTTACTGACATTTCTGTTTCCTTTTCCCCATGCTCGGTGAAAGAATCCCTATAACGAAGATGAAGTCCTTGCAAAGAATCCTCATGGAAAATAACTTGCTGAGAAGTTTTCCGGAGCCACAATCTTATACCCTGTCCCAGAAGTTGACTCTTGACCAGAATTTCTCATCTCATCCCCCAAAGAACCTCATGGACGCGAGTGCATTGGGAGAATGGTGCTCCACAGCGCCGCTGGTGTTCTGGTCTAGAATTGAGGCTCATCTGCAGGTGCCAGGTGGGATGTTGAGGCTGGGGCTCCTGCAGGAGGCAGAAACAGTGGGGAACAGGGACCCCATTCCCAGAGGAGAAGGCACTCAAATCCTCAACTTTTGGTCTGTGTTAACTGTGACCAATTACAACCAAGTGGCAGGTAAACATCCATTTATGTACCAAAGATGTGGCATTAGTTTGAGGAAGATTGTTCTTTCTGAAATAAGTGAGCCACTCAGTTACAGATGAAGGATGAGCCATCTCTGATCAAAAGGTAAAGCCAACTGAAAATCAAATGTGAATGTCCAGGCAGAGAAAGTTCATCCTCCAGAGATCCAGAAATGACACTAACTTTCTGAGTCCCTAAAGCATGTGACTCCATAAAGGTCTAACACTATAGTTACTGCTATTTTTTTTTAATAGGAGCTTTTCTCTTCTTCAAGAATGCATGGGAAAGCCATGAAATTCTCCAGGCAAGAATATTGGAGTGGGTTGCCATTTCCTTCTCCAGAGGATCATACCAACCTCGGGATCGAACTCGGGTCTCCTACACTGCTGGCAGATTCTTTACCACTGAACGACCAGGGAAGCCCGTATAAGCAAGGCAGAGAGAGACAAAAATTGAATACATGTCAAAGAAGGGACCACTTTCATGTTTTTCACAGGACATGCTCTGAGTTTAGCAGGAGTGGCCTGGAATGACATAGGAAGCCCACCTGGAGAAGGAGGCGCTAGAAAGTGAAAGAAAGTGAAGTCGCTCAGTCATGTCTGACTCTTTGTGATCCCATGGACTGTAACCCACCAGGCTCCTCCATCCATGGAATTTTCTAGGCAAGAGTACTGGAGTGGGTTACCATTTCCTTCTCCAGAGGATCTTGCAGACCCAGGGATCGAACCCGGGTCTCCCGCATTGCAGGTAGACACTTTACCATCTGAGCCTCCAGGGAATCCCAGTTGTTATATATAAAAAGGAGGTGCTAGGCTGGGCCTTAAAGAGGAAACTGGAGAGCTTCTCAAACGAAGGGACCTCTGAGCAGAGTTTGTGAGGAGGAGTGGTTGGAAGTGATTTCAGGCCCTGGGATGCCCAGAGGGAGGCAGGACAATGGGAATCAAGGGTGGCCAGGCAGCCAAGTCTGCCCCAACCTCCGCCCCGGCCCCTATATATGGCCTACGTTGGCAGCATCACCACTGCAACACCACCTCAAGAGTTCCAGGTCATCAATGACACCAGCTCGTCTGACCTGTGGGTGGCCTCTGTCTACTGCCGAAGTCCCTCCTGCTGTGAGTGCCTGCCCCCCACCCATCTTGTCCTCCCCCACTTTCTCCATCCTTGGCATCTGACAGATATGGGTCTCTTGTGTTGGCAGCTGCATACCAGACATATGACCCCAAGATGTCCACCACCTTCCAATGCAAGTGGAGGAAATTCAACCTCTACTGTGGCTTTGCAAAGATAACAGGAGTTCTTGCCAGTGAAACTGTTCAGGTAATGGGAGAACCAGGGGCTGAGTCCAGGCTGGCCCTGGGAGAAACCACTGCTTGCAAAATAGATGCAGGACCAGCTAGGAGGGACTGTCTTTCTGAAAGTCCCCTCGTGGCTGGCCACATGCCCAGCAGGGCCCTGTCCCTGGGGAGACAGCGCCCCTGCTGACACACAAACTCCCAAAACAACGAACCCCAGAGAGGGGCTTGGGGGTGGACTTGCATCTCCATTACCCAAGGTGCATTTTTGCTGGAGCAGGAAGAAGGGGGAATAAAGCACCCCCTTTTATAGTCATGGGCTCTACAGGGCAGTTTCATGGTAATAACTTGTTTTATCCTGCAACATCCCCAGGCAGGAGGCACTATTATTAGCTCAGGATAAAGACTGGGACATGAGGTGCACAGAGCGAGGGCCTTGCCAAGGTCACATATTTTTTAAGTGGAGCTTCACTGACCTTCAGGACTCAACTAGGTGTGGGTTTGGGGAGAGGATAAAACTGACCTGGGGCCCCTGGGGCAGCACAGGGCTTCAGGTATCCAGGCAGGGGAATCAGGGGTCAAGGTGTAAGATGGGCCTGATAAAAGGGTTCTCACTCTAGGGGGCCTTTGAGACTAATAAAAACTATGTCCTGCCCCCCCCCCACACACACAAAATGCCTGAGTATGCTCTCCCTGTGTTTCTCTGTCTTAGTCTCTCTCTGTCTCTGTCTCTCTCTCTCTCTCTCTCTCTCTCACACACACACACACACACATACACACTCACTCACACACAAGTGTGCACATCCCCAAAAGCCTGCTTTCCAGGCAGAATTTTCATTAGAACCCATCCAGTGACATTGCATAGTGGCTTCTGTCTTCCTGGGTACATGCAGAATGCACAATGCATTGCAATGAATTCAGTTCATGTTTGTCATCAGATCATGAAAGTGAAAGTGTTCGTCGCTCAGTCTTGCAACCCCACGGACATAGCTCGCCAGGCTTCTCTCTCTGGGGAATTCTCCAGGCAAAATACTGGAGTGGGTTGCCATTTCCTTCTCCAGGGGAACTTCCCAACCCAGGGAATGAACCTGGGTCTCCTGCATTAACAGGCAGATTCTTTACTGCCTGAGCCACAAGGGAAGCCCATCAGATCATAGTGATGCCAAAGAGAAGACTAGTCTGGTCTCTATTCGTTGTATCCTTAGAGGGGGACCATTCAGTCCTGTCCTGAGTCTGGTTGCCCCACCTGTACAGAAGACATGAGACCAATTTGACTCACTCAGATGGTGTTTGCAGGAGAAGCAGTTGTTGTTAAAATCCACAGCCCCACACAAATGGAAGCCCAATGCCTATCCCAGCTTGTCCTACCCATCTGAGGTCAACTGAGGCCTCAGTTCTTCTCTGCAGTGTGAATGGCATTTGCACCAAACAGCCCAGCCTCACTTCCCAACCCTTTATGTGGGAACACTCTCCTGTCTCACAAATAGGGACAGCTGATGCCAAGAACCAGACATTTGGCCTGACCAAGAATAAGATTGGTGGGTTCCTGGAAAATTCACCTTATGATGGCGTCCTTGGCTTGGCGTTCCCCAGCCTCGCCAGGCGTGAAGCCACCCCTCTCTTTGACAACGTGAAGAGACAAGGAGTCATTTCTGAACCTGTCTTTGCCTTGTTCATGAGCAGGTAAGTCTGAGCTGGACAAGCCCTTCCTCCAAACAAGCTCTAAGATGCTTCCAGTTGCATGAAAAAGCAACTTCCAGTTGCACCTCATCCAGTGGATTCCTGAGTGATAGTCTAGCCGAGGAGAACTACGGCCCCAGAATCACAACTGGCCGCATCACTGGGTTTTTGTCAACAAAAAATGGTTGTGTTTCATTGGAACACAACCATTCTCATGGATTCAAGGGTGCAGTTTGGTCCAGCAGGGTGGAGGTAGGAGGAAGAGAAATGGTCCAGGATACGGCTGGAGGAAAAGGCAACAGGATTTGCTGATGAATTTGATGCAGAAGGAAAGGGATGGCGGGAATGTTTCCTTCCTCACTAACATTTCACCGGGAACCGAGGACGAGCTACACTATTTGCAGCAGCCAGCAAAAAAATGAAAATGTGAAACCCCTTGTTTGAAACATATTAGGAATTTTAAGACAGGGAGAGTGGAGGTGGGTGGCCTGCTCAGCTTGAAGTCCCATGGACAGCACAGGTCACAGGCAAGAGAAGTCAACCCTGGGTGAGCCTGAACCCATGTTCTTCGCTCCCTCAGACATCATCTTTCCTGAAAAATGACAGGCTAGACAAGGAGGAAGCCTGACCCCTCCAGCATAGAGTCCTCTGAGGGTGTATCTGAGCATTCAGGTGGCTGGAAAGGTCCAGACCCTCTTCAGAAGGATGGGTGGTCGGAGCCTGGCCTGGTTGGAGCCAGGCTGCCCAGCTTCGAACCTCTTCTGTGACACTCGTTAGATGGGGACCGACCCTGGTCAGGTACGCAAGCTCTCCAAGCATCCGTTTCCGCATGTGTAAAATGGAGACCATAGTAGTGCCTCTGACGGGTGAGGAAGCGCAGCCCTCAGACAGTGGCTGGTGTTACCCTCCTCCAACGAGACCCTTCTTCCTTCTCTCTTCAGCTGGCCGCAGAAGAGCAGCTTGCTGATGCTTGGTGGGGTGGACCACGCCTACCACAAGGGAGCTCTCAAGTGGGTACCGGTGACCCAAGCCCGCGTATGGCAGATAACCATGGACCGGTAAGCCTGCCCCTCTGAGGGCCACCCCAAATGATGCTGCCACACATGCACATGGACACATACAGACACACACAAATGCACTCACAGTCACACACGGACATATGCTCCACACGCACGCACACATAAAAACACATACAGAGACACATATAAACACCTACATAGGCAGACATATAAACACACACACAGATGCACACAAACACACACAAGGGAGCACACACCACCCATGGGTTCATGGTTGCCCCAGACCTCCTGATCAGGCCTCTCACCAGGATCTTGAAAGGGTCCAGAGAGGCCTGGGCAGCTCAGGGAGAGCTGCATTCCTCTGCTGTGAGGTGGGGAGCCTGGTTAAAGGAACCTATAGTGTGGTGAAAAGAGGATCAGGGGGAATTTCACCAACCTGAACAGAGTTGTGTTAAGATGACCTACTGACCAGGGCCACCCAGGACCTAGGGTGTTCTCAGGACACAGAATTGCCAGTTGAAAAGCTGAGAAAGTCCTGAAAAACTGGGAAAACTGGTCTCCTCAGAGAGAAGTTATGCAACAGTGGAGAGAGTCTGGCTGCACCTAACCAGTGCTACTTGCCGCCCAAGCCGGGCACACAGCGGGGCAGGGGCTGTGCCTGAATCAGGAAGCTGGGATCCAGGCATGGCCTGAGAACAAGGGGCGAGAATTGATGGGATTCTCTGTGATAGCCTCAGGCCAAAGCTCACCTGCTCTTTGGAGGCCCCTGGGTCTGCTCATGCTCCCCTGGCAGGGGGCCTCAGGGTCTGAGTCGGGTGAGGGGGCAGTGCTGGGAGACAAACTCTCCCAAGGCAGCCTGTGTCTCCCCCCAACTGCTCTGACCATCTGCTGCCCTAGAGACCTCTATCTTCACTGGCTGGGCCAACCCATTATTGGGGAGACACCAGATACAGGTCTCCGGGTGTTCCTCATTCATTCATTCAACAAGCATACATTGTGCATCGCCTGTGTGCTGGGCGCTTGAGGGAGGCACTGAGGATCCAACTTGCCCTCACATCTAGTGAGGCAGACGTATGTGAAACAACATGAAATGAAGTTCACACACAGTGAATTACCACCTTGGCACATGCTAGACATGAGGAAGAATCTACAGAGTCTGAGAACAACAGGAGACTGATCTAGTCTGGGGGGAAGACTTTCCTGACAAAGTGGCAGTTAACCTGGAAGATGAGGAAAAATTAGCCGGACCAAGGGAATGTGGTCTTCTAGGAAGGGCACCAGCACAAACTCAGGCCCTGAGACACGAAAGAGCCTGGTGCCGGCAAGAACTGAAAGAAAGTTAAAAAGATGATGTGACCAGAGAAAAGGAAAACTGAGTCAGGGTAAGAGCTGAAGGGCTGTTCAGAAGACAGTCAGCCAGGGGGCAGTCATTGAAGAGACTTAGAGTGACCCTGGTGCCCACTTTGTCCCTCTGTTTCTCAGCATCTCCATAAACAAAATGGTGGTTGCTTGTTCTCACGGATGTCAGGCTATTGTGGACAGTGGGAGCTCAGTGCTGGCTGGCCCAACTCAAGTGGTCCACAACATCTTCAAACACATCAACCCCAATCCCAAAGAGAAAAACCAGGCAAAGGGTCATGCCACAGGATCATTCTTGGGCTCCCCACACACCAAGGATCACCTGGGCCAACCTCTCTCCTGCTTTCTTTTACAGCAGTTGATTTCATGTGATCAGGCCAAGACCCTGCCTCCTATTAACTTCACTATCAATGGCATGCACTTCCCAGTGTCCCCTAAATACTACATCCAGAAGGTGAGGGGATAACTTTGGGGGCTGGTTCCCAAATTTGGGATTTGCAAGAACTCTTGGGCTGCTGTTGGGAGGAAGAGGCCCTCTATAGGCCAAGCCACACCATGGCAGATGCTGCTGAGCCCCGGTGGCTGGGCCAGTGCCTCCCACAAAACCAACCACATGAGAGTAAAGGGCAGTCTGGGACATCCCTCCTCCTGCAATAAATGTGGAGACACCACCCCGTACTGGCGTGGTGGGAGTCACAAGGAGAGGGGAACACTGAGGGCCTCAGTCCTCACAGAGCTTGAGGTCAACCAGAGACCTCAGATACAGAAACATGGAAAGTCAGCTCTAGCCCTGAAATAGAACAAGTGACAAGAAGGATGTCTGGGAACCGTCTCATTGTGCTGTCCCACCACAGGGGTTAACAGTCTCCCCTTCCCAACTCGAAAGTCTCCGGGTGGAGACCATAAATTACATGCTTACCCTAGAACTTCGCTGCAACTTGACACTCTGTGAGTTAGGGTACTGATCCCTCTATGGGGAGGTTGGATGCTAAGGTAAATAAAGGAGCACAGTGACTGCTCAGCCCCAGCACAGGGTGGAGGCTTCATGTCAGCTCCCTGTGGGAGTTCAGAGCAGGCTGATGGGCTCAAAGGAGGCTTTGGAGAAGAGAAGGAATTGAAGTAATTCTAAACACCCCAGCCTCATGGATGAACGAGGGAGCCTTCTTGGGTTGAGGTAATCTATATTGGATTCCTTACAAAAGGCAGCCCCGGGGACTATGCAAAGGGGTCCAGGGGCAGATGAGGGGTGATATGGGCTACAGACTTGGGGAGCTTCAAGATAAGTCACCCAACCCAGCCTGGTGTGGCCAAATAGTGTGAGTGTGGCACCAGAAAGATTTCCTAGACTGCCTGAGCGAGTATAAAGAATGCATTGTGACAATGCTATTTACAATGGGTAACCAACAACAACCTACTACGTAGCACAGGGAGCTCTGCTCAGTGTTAGGTGGCAGTCTGGACGGGAGGGGAGTTTGGGGGAGAGTGGGGACATGTATATGTATGGCTGAGTCCTATGGCTGTCCACCTGAAACTATCACAATACTGTTAATTGGCTATCCTCCATTAAAAAGTTAAACATTTTTTTAGAAAAAATAATGGGTTGTGGCCAATGGAGAGATAAACAGGCATTCTTAGCAGAGAAAAAAAAGAGAGCAGGAGTCAGAAGGAAAGAAACAGCAGTATGTGAGGGGAATTATGGGCCATTCTTGTTCTTTGTTTAAAAAATACATTGAAGTAGGACTGATTTACAATGTTGTGTCAATTTCTGCTCTACACCTAAGCCACTCAGTTTTATATATATTCAAATGTATACATGCTGCTGCTGCTTATTTGCTTCAGCTTGTCTAACTCTGCGAGACCCCAGGGACTGTAACCCGCCAGGCTCCTCCATTCAGGGGGATTCTCCAAGCAAGAATACTGGAGTGGGTTGCCATGTCCTCCTCCAGCGGATCTTCCCAACCCAGGGATCGGTCTCCTGCACTACAGGCAGAATCTTTACCACTGAGCCACCAGGGAAGCCCACAGATATATACCAACTCTTTTTCATATTCTTTTCCATTACAGTTTATCATGGGTTACTGAATACAGTCACCTCTGCTATACAGTAGGACTTTGTTATTTAAATATCAAATATTAGTTCACATCTGATAATCCCAAACTCCCAATCCTCCCCTCCCCATACTCCTCTGTCATGGCAACCACATGTTTTGGCCCTTCTTGTTCCTATACCCTCACTTCTGCAGCTGCTATGAGAGCCACTTGATTCTTCCCAAAGAAGGGGAAAAAATGGAAAAGCTCTCTGCTCTGGATATTGAGGGGGGTGGCAGGTAAGTGCTCACACTGGTGTGTATTTCTGTCTCCCCCAGGTTTTTGAGGACATCTGCTTTGTCAGCTTTCAAGGGGGCACAGAATACATGAGCCCCTCAGACACCTGGATCCTGGGTGACATCTTCCTGAAAGCATATTTCACAGTTTTCGATCGGGGAAACTATAGGATCGGCCTGGCTCCCTCAGTGTAAATGCTGGGCTGCTTCAGGTATCACTCAGGCCCACTCCAAAGACACACTCACACATAGGGCACTCCCTCCCAGGGATGCCAAGGCACTGGGTTTGGGGCTCTGCAAGCCTTGCCCTCAGCAGAGAATAAAGGATTTCATCTCAATGGAGCTCATACAAATGGCTGCCTCTCTTTGAGTCAGGAAGGTACATCACAACCAGGCAGGATCTAGAATCAAGTCTGAACCACAAACGAGAGGAGCTCAACTGCCCAACTCCAACTGGCTTCAAGAAAGGGGAGACTTACTGGAAGGACACAGGGATCCGGGACACAGGAAGGAGAACAGATCCAAAGATCTCAGTAGACTGGACCCAAGAAATCAGAAGCCATCAGTTCACTCTTTCCCTCACCCTTTCGCTTCTCTCTTCTTTGATTCTCTCAGCCTGACAGCTTTCTTCCCTCAGGTTTCTACACCTAGCGAGTTTCAAGCTGCCTGCCTCACGTCTTTATCTCTCTAAGGCAACTAACCAGTAAGGAAGAAGCTCAGAAGACATCAGAATTCAAGGGAGGGCTCTGAATGGACCATCTCAGACCATGTGTCCAGTCCTGGACCAAGCATGCTGGCAGGGGCACGGAGTCTTATAATTGGCTTAATTCGTCACCAGGCCCTGCCCCCAGAGCATGTGATTGACCAGTTCCTCATTAACAGACCCTGAGAAAGAATCATTTTCTTCTTTTCTTACCCTTCCCTTCTTTCTTTCTTCCTTTTCTCCTCCTTTAATTCCTTTCTTTCTTTTGTCTCCTCTGAGCATTCACCTCCACAGAGCTCACAATCCTAGGTGTGAGAAAACTTCAGATTCCTCCGGGGACCACATCGGTCAAGAGAACGACAAACTCAAGATGTCTGGATGGAACTCAGATCAGTAGAATTTAGTTTTGTGCTCCCTTCATGGCTTAGTGGTCAAGAATCCCCACCTGCCAATGCAGGAGACATGGGTTCGATCCCTACTCCAGTAAGCACCCACATGCCGAAGATACATTAAGCCCGTGCACCACAACTATGGAGCCTGTGCTCTAGAGTCCAGAGACCACACTACTGAGCTCACGTGCAGTCATTACTGAAGCCCACATGCCCTAGAGCCCAAGCTCCACAACAAGATGAGCCACTGCAATGAGAAGCCAGCAAATACATTCAATTGGAAATAAGACAATGGGGTAAAAACCCCAACATGGTCATTTACTGTGCAAAACCGTACCTAACTAGGACTCACTTTTAGGATTCACTTCATCTGCAAAATAGGCTCGTCACCTAACTTGAAGTGTACCCAGAATCTCATATGTTTACAAAGCCCCAGAACGCTGCCAACAGCACAAGGCAGCAAGGCAAAAAGAATAAGAGCTACTGCTACCCTAAGGAACAACAACAAAAAAAAAACAGAAGCTGCCCAGATGAAATCTACAAAGAAAATTTTCTGCATAATGGAAAATACAAAGGCACCAAGCCAACCTTCTGAGATAATCTAGGGGGGAAAAAAGCTTTTCTGGGGATATGACTGTCCCGAGTTCTCATTTCAGAATCCAGTCTTTCTCCCCAAGTGCTAACTCCCAGGCCTGTGTAGAGTCACAGCCTTGGACAACAGTCAAAGAAAGTCTTCTTTCCCAAGTCCCTCTGTCACCACCACCAGCAGCTCTAGGGCTGACAGTCACAGACCTCACAGGTTTAGCATCTCGGGTGCACCAGTAGGAAATGGGACTACTGGGTAAGAGGCAGGCAGCCGATGAAGGGGGTGGAAAAGCCCCCAGCCAGCAACAGTATTACTGGGATACTGCTGGAGTGAAAGGAAGTGAGTGTGTGAAGTTTCCAGAGTTGAGTGTGGACATTCCCAGGTTAGTGAACCCAGACATCGGTCAGCTGAGAAAGCACTGACTTCTCCCAGGGGCAGAAACACTGAGGTGTAGAGTCAATTTTGCCAGTAACACACAAACACACACCACTGCTCTTGGAACCCAGAAGGAACTAGCACACTTTGGAGATACACAAACACCCATGACCTTTGTACCCAGCAAGCCCAGAATCAGGGCAGACCCCAGTCTGAAAAGCCACATCCTCACTGCCCCGGGGTGGGGTGGGGGACGGACGGTGGGGGGAAGTGCAGAGCTCAAAGGGTTACAGACCAGACCAGAGCATCCCTCGGACCCCACTCTGCCGATGGATCCCCCTGGCAAGTCAGACCCCACTCTTAACCTTCTCTCCCCACCTCCACGATGGGCAAGTTGGCTCTTGGCCCATCAGAAGTGTGACAAGCAAGATGCTCAAATACAGGGCGCAGGGTGAAAGGCGGTGATAAGAAGTGGAGCGAGACTGGAGGCCCGACTGGCCCAGGGAGCTTGGGCACTGCCTCCTCCTACTGGTCCAACTGCGAAGGGCACGGACCTTTCGTGGGTCACGTGCCCGTCGCGCCCAATCCCAGCCTCTGCCACGTGAGGCACGCCAGGAGCGTCTGCCGGCGCTGCCCCCAACTCCGCCCTCGCCCCTCCCCGGGTCCAGTTCACCTACCCCTGGCCACCACAGGTTAAATCTTAGCCCAAGCCCACACTTCCGGGGACCACAAATATGGCCCCCACCGGATGTGACCTCCCTCCAATGTTCAGGCACTAGAGCTGGGGCTCACGTCAGTATTCTGAGGCAGATGACCTTAGAGAAGAGTGCTCCTCCTATGTTATTTCCTCCAATTTTCCACTTCCAGCTCTTTTCAGCCTCCCCACCCACTATGACCCTCGTCCCCTATCACTTGCACCTATTTCCCTAATACCAGGCCTCCGTTTCCCCAATTTTCCTATTCAGAGGGCGCTGACACAGGCAAAAAGTGAAAGTGAGAGAAACAGAAGCTAACTCCTTACTCTCCTCTTGTTCATTCACTCCACATACATTCACTGAAGACCTGTGCTGTTAAGACCTGTGGATGCAAAAGTGAACACACCACCCCCAGGTTAAAGGAAGTCACCTTTTTGCCTGGCATGTCAGAAGAAACAAGAGATCTCCCTATTCTAGCCATCTCAGTCCTTCAGTTGACTTTGATCAGGAACAAAAATTATTAAGGTAGGAATAGGCATCCTGTTGCTGTGCTGTGCTAAGTCGCTCAGCCACGTCTGACTCTGTGATCCCAAGGACAGTAGCCCACCTGGCTCCTCTCTCCGTGGGGATTCTCCAGGCAAGAATACAATAGTGGGTTGCCATGCCCTCTTCCAGGGGATCTTCCCAAACCTGGGGTCGAACCCAGGTCTCCCACATTGCAGGCACATTCTTTACCAGGTGAGCCACCAGGGAAGCCCAAGCATACTGGAGTGGGTAGCCTTCCCTTCTCCAGGGGATCTTCCCAAACCAGGAATTAAACTGGGGTCTCCTGCATTGCAGGTGGATTCTTTACCAGCTGAGCTACCAGGGAAGCCCCATCCTGTTTTTACCCACTTCTAAAAACTGTTTGTTGAGCTCCTCAGTACTGGATCTTGTTACGTTGGTAGACTGGATGGAGAAGTGATGTGAACAGAAGTTAGGAAGGTGAGTGGGTAGGTCAGAATGTGAGGTAACAAAGACATGATATTTAAGAAGCTGACTTATTGAGAGAGACTTGGGACTTGAGTTGGAAAAGCACTTTTCAAAAGAAGTTAGACCATGTGGTATGCATAATCCCCAGTTCAGATCTCTATGAAGACTTTGTTGGGTTTTTTTGTTGTTGTTGGTGTTTTTTTTTTTTTTTTTTTGGAACCCAAGTCAGATCCTTCTAGCTGTTTTTCAGTCCTGGTTCTTCCTCCTGGGTCCCACACTATGCCCAGCAGTTCAGCGAGCTCAGTGGACAATGGTTTTGTTCTCTGAGCCTTCAACTAACCCAGTGTCTAAGGGCCCTTGTATTAGATCTTTCAAAGACAAGTCAAAGTTGCCATTAGAAGCTGAAGTACACCAAAACCAGAGAAAATGTAACATCAGATTATATTGAGGTGTTCTGTACCTGCTCTGCCCTCTCCAGCATCATGTTGAGAATCCTGCAAGTCTAAAGAGCCCCACAGGTCTCTAGAGGTGACCTTTTTATAATTTAATTTTTATTTCATGTTGGAGTATAGTTGATTGAGGGGCTTTCCAGGTGGCTCAGTGGTAAAGAATCCCCCTGAAATGCAGAGGACCAGAGTTCCATCCCTGGGTTGGGAAGATCCCCTAGAGGAGGGAAAGGGAACCCACTCCAGTATTTTTACCTGGAGAACTTCGTGGACAGAGGAGCCTGGTGGGCTACAGTCTATAGTGTCGCAAAGAGTCAGACACAACTTAGCAGCTAACTATACTATACTATTGTTGATTGTGTTAGTTTTAGCTGTGCTGGAAAGTGATTCCATTATACTCATACATGTATCTATTCTTTTTTAGATTCTTTTTCCATACAGAATACTGAGGAGAGTTCCCTGTGTTATACAGTAGGTCCTAGTTGATTATTTATTTTATATATAGTTGCGTGTGTATGTTAGTTCTAAACTCTCAATTTATCCCTCTCCCACCTTTTCACTTTGGTAACTATACATTGTTTTCAAAGACAGTGAATCTATTTCTGTTTCCAAGAAACCATTTCTGATGAACTGAGATGAGTTCTCGGTTTTTAAGAAACCATTTCTTGAAAACAAGAAACCATTTCTGATGAGCCAGCTGGAGAGCATGTGTGCTAAGTCGCTTCAGTCATGTCCAACTCTCTGCGACCCTATGGACTGTAGCCCTCCAGCTTCCTCTGTTCATGGGTTCTCCAGGCAAGAATACTGGAGTGGTTTGTGATGCCCTCCTCCAGTGCAGGAGTACATTTCACCCCAGTGAAGATCCTTTCACCCTAGCATTTAATCATCTGTGCAAACACACACACACACACACACATACACACATACACATACACACATATACAAACACACACACAATTTTTAAGAACAAAATGAAGGGACTGGTGTGATTGTTGATAAACTGCTCAACCAAGACAGGCCAGGCTCAGT